TATGGCAGTTTCTCAAAATTTAATATATCAACGTGTTCAGCTTGGGATATAATTTTTCTGTCCCTCCCTGAGGGAGATATGCATGTAGGTGCAATATTTGTCTCTTGACATTTGCAGTGGAGAACTAGCCAAAATTTACATAAAGATAGGTGATCAGTCCTATCAAACACAAGGCCAAGCACTGCTGCCCTCACTTGATACCCTCCTATATAACAGAAATCACAGTGCTTCCCAGAATTAATCCCTGGAGGTATATTTTTTTAGTTGTCATCTTCCAATGATCTGCAGAACCACTTAGAAATTTCACCTGTGGCTTGTAGTATGTAACATATAAACATACTTTTCTCTGTTTTCTCACTGGTCCCATGAGTTCCTAAGCACATTTTGAAACCACTTGACTGGCTTTAGAAAAACATCAAATCTTTCGCATTTTTAGTGATGAAGAGTATACAACTTTGATATTTCCATAGCTTTCCACACTGAAGAGTGTGCCTTTTACTTCTAACCTTAGTTTATCTCTCTCCAGCTTTCACTTTGATATGTCATTGTCCACTAGACGGAATAGTCTTCTAGAATCAATATCCTACCTCTGGGATGTAGCTGTGACCCCTCTGATTTTCTCCTAGATAAACTAAATGGCTTATGATTTTTAAGCTTTTTCCTAAATGGCATTTTTCTCAAACTCCAACTAATTCTGTGGTTTTCCTCTCTGTGTTTTTCACTCTATTATGGTCCTTTCTAAGAATTTATTCACAGGAACTTGATGCAGCAGTCTAATAATAACAGAAGTCAGCATAATGCCTCTACTCTAATTGATATTCCCTTTCTTAAATAAATATCCAAGGATCCCAGGGATAATGCACAGAGATCTTGGGGTTTGCTACTTAATCACCATCACTCAGATGTTCTAAGGGGTGGACACAGAGTACATCTGTTCTCCATGGACAAACTGTATGACACTGGAGCATCTCCCAGCCAACAAATGATAACAGGGAAGATTACAGCCCACTGACTTCCTCAATAATCCACCCCTGTAATTTTTTTCTGCATCAGTGCTTTCTAGCATTAACTACTGTACCATTAACTATGAACATATTTTGTCTCTATGCTCTCTCCACAGTCAGTGGTGAGAAACTGGACTTTCCAGACCACCACAGCATAACTGCTTAAAACCGCTGGGCTAGAGTGCCCTCTGATGGGTATCCAATTCTCTCCATGAACAACAAGAACCTGTGTGACAGTCTTACACCAGACACTTTCAGAGGATTAAAATGAGGTCAGGTGGATGCCACGGGCACTGGGCAGTGCTGTCGTTGGCTATTTTAAAGCATGAGCTGCATAAGGACTCAGATTTACAGTTATACCCAGTATCTACATGTCTGTCTCCATATAACACCATTGTTATAAATCATCTTATTACTTCTCCAAGGTTTTTGTCATCTTCAAAAGTCATGAGTAATGACTGCATTTTTCCCAGGTCATTGTTGAAAATGCAAATCAATGAAGAAGTAAAAAATTAGCCTAAGTGGTGGTCTCTTAAAAAAATCCATTTAATAATGTTTCCCTTCTATGTAAACTTTTTTAAACCTGTCATTTAACAAGTTTTGAAAACATTTAGTATGCATGACCTTCATTCCATATGATTCAAGTTGTGTGGTACCAAGTGGTACCTTATGAAAGCCAAAATTTGATGCTATTCTGTTTGTAAACCAGATTTCCAAGTCAGTATGATAAGATTTTCCAGGTTGATTAATAATTATATTGTTTTCCTTTTAATTTTTATTAATTGAGTTTCATATCAACTGTTAAAGGTTTTTTTATCAGGATCCCAGTTGGGCTGGCAAATTTGTAATTACCTGTGTTATCACACTTATACATCAGTATGCCCTTTTGTGCAGTAACCATGATTTGCTATAGGTCTTCCTACAGAAATCATCCAATGCTTTGAATTATCCCAAAGCCTTAGAATACAGATTAGCCAATGTGCTAGAATGTTTGCCAGAAAGTAAAGAACCAGTCATATGCTTATAAAAATGTCTGAGCATAATCCAAATTTCTCACCCTTTGACAGAGGGTTTTGTGACATCTTATTAAAAAGATGCTCTTTCAATTTTTATTGGGTTTAGTGCTCTTTAAAGTGAACTGAGAAGCTGTAGCAACAGTGATTTAAGTGTAGGCCTTTTTGACAAAGGTTTATCACTGCATGTCAGCCTTGCTGCTCTGTCCCAAAATCTTTCTCTACACCTCTACATCAAATTGAAAAATCTGGGATTTTTTGATACTGGGTACAAAATAAATATCTGTAGTTCATAGGGCTAGGCCTCTATTTTGGACCCCATAATAATATTCCATTACTGTTTTTCTGACCTGAAAAAATACTTGTTTCTTCTACAAAAATATATTTTGCTTTAGAACAAAGAATGGCACCGTCCCATGCTTTGCACAGGGAAGAACAGAAATGTTCCATGAGCATATGGTAGGAGTTATACACAGTTCCTCTTGATATAAAAACATAAAAAAAAAAAAAAAAAACATGGCTAGGCTTCGCGAACGAAGATTTGGGAAGGGCTCTACCCACGTTTCTTGCAAGCGCGTTGGTGGCTAAAAAGGCCAATACGAGAAAGGCAAGTCCGGTTGCAAAAAACACAGCAGAAAGACTCCTTAGATGGTATATTCTGCAAGGCTTGATTCTTTCTGCGTTGTCTTTTCTCCTCAAGAGTGATCCTGCGTGCTTTCTCAAAAGCATCAGCAGCGTTATAAATGGTCTATCTCCAGGCCTCCCGATTAGAGGCCAGAGTAGACCAGTTATGGTGATCAATATGCCCGAGGCTGAGATGTTGAGATGTTGCTTCAGGGAGTTCCTCTTGATATATATCAAAGCCATTGGTGGTAGAATCCACTTGCTTGTTTTCATCACTGTCTAGTTTATGAGGCCTCATGCTGTTTTGCTTGAGAATTCACTAAGCAACAAGTACCTCTGCTGCAGAAACACGAATTTCATCTTATGCACCACAACACTTTGTACTCTTAAAAAAAAAAAAAAAAAAAAATAGTGCTGAGGAAACCTGAAACCTCAGTTCTGTGCCCTGGTCAGCTTGAGGAAGTTTAAACTTCTAGTCTTTATTAAACCAGGGAACACAGCAGCCAAACAGCTGTGGAATATTTAAGGTAAAAGCCTGTTCCACTCGTCAAAACTGGACCTGTGCAGTCAGGAAGGCGTAGGGCCAGATAGACTTTAGTTCCAGACAAGCTCTTGGGAAGACATATTATATAAGAAAATTTATATGGATGAACCTGGGTACAGAAAGAGAAACAGCCTTGGAAACAGTGCCCTTTCTTGACTGAATTATGTAACTGCTCAGATAATGTCAAAACACCTTTTGTCTGACTTTTTGGTAGAAGGTAATCTGTCCTTCTTTCTCTTCCTCTTCCACCTTAAAATGGCTACTCACCCAAAGACAACCAGTTATGGATTCTAGCATCTTGAGTCTAAGAGAGAAGGAGGGCCTGAGGACGCTAAGTAAAGGATGACTTCAGCATAAGGTTGTAATAAAGGTCAGGATATTGACCACCTTCTCTTATGTTAAAAGGTACTTGCACTCAGAATAGAGCTAAGGAGATGGTATTCTATTGGCATTTTCTGCCAGTTCCTTGTAAGGCAACTGGAAAGAGGTAGACTTACTGACTGGATGAACAAAAGACATCTCTGGAGCTCCCCCATCCTCATTTACTCTATGTCCTCTATTTGACTTCCTACTTCTATTACGATGATTGAATTGATCACCTTCCCTCTGTTCATCCAGTCCCCCCCCTGAAATGGGTACCTAAAATGTAGGCGCATCTGCTCACAAATGAAGGACTGTTGGAGCCTTTCCATTATCTACCACATGGGAACAGGATTAGGTTCGCTGTCAGTTTTGGGGAACATGAAAGGGATAAAGAAGCATGAATTATGCATAACAGAATTGCACCCTACTGGTTTCTTAAGACATACAAGATGTTTTGGTCCCATTGTCATCCTAACATACTCTCAGAAAAAATGTTTCACACAGCCAGAGGCAGTTCTTGGAGAGTAGCAAGACTCATCCAAGACTCCTGGTATAGCACCGTATTGACACTCCTCTTCTGCTAATGAGGTATGTTTCACGTTGTTAAAGGTCTGGCAGCATGTTACAGTTTGCTAGACTGGCTGAGACTATATGAAATGTCTTAAGAAATAAAGTGAGTAGAAAAGGATTAATTAGAGAACTGCTAAAAAAACTGATTTTTTTTTTCTGCATCTTCCTTTTGATTATTTTCATTGCAGCTAATGGAAGGAAAGAGAGTATTAAACTAACAATCTGATCACAACCCTCACATACCTTTGGTTTAGACCCAAAGTCTTCCAGGCAGTAATACAATCTTTTAATACCAGACCTAATTGAATGAGAGTCTAAATTAGTAGGAATTATCTTTTTATGAAAGATTTTTGACAGTATTTGGCATGACACTAGAGCCCATGTATTTCTCCCAGGGACAACTGCGGGTTATCCAATTTTCCCACTAAGTCTCCTCACCCGCCCTGGCGCAGTTCGGTGGTTTGAGTCATTCAGCCCAGAGATGACTTTTACGTGGCCACCGCGGGCCCGAGCGTGACAGGACCCTCGGGTGCGCGGCCTCTTAGCTTGCGGGGAGCCCCTGGCACACGGCTCCCATCGCACCCACCCGCCGGGAACCCGGCGTTCGCACCACCCCTCCTGCCACTCTTTGGCCGGAGTGGGGACGGCGCGGCCGGTAGCTCAGGGAGGTCCCGGGCACCGCTCCCGCCCCCTTCCTCCGGGCCGCCTCTCCCCCCCCCGGCCCCCGGCGCGGAGCGCGGGGCTCCCGCCGCTCCAGACCCCGGCGGCGGCTCCTGCCGGGCGGAGCGGGGCTGGGCGGTGCGAGGCGGCGGGCGCAGCCTGGCAGCGGCAGCTCCCGCCTGCCACTGGGGCACGGCCGTGCGGGCCGAGGGGAGGGAGCGGTGGACCCGGCCCGGCCGTTCCGCACCTCCGCCGAGTTTGGCCAGCCCAGAAGGGCAGCCAAAAATTCAGCATGCAGGAAGTTTGGAGGCAGCTCGGAGAGTAGAGCGTCGGCGGCGGCTGCTGCTTCCCGTGCTGTGGGGTTTTGCTTGTTTTGCGGGGATTGTGCCATTCCCCCTCCACCCCTCCACCCCGCATACAACTCCCCCAAACACACAAGGAACCCGCAACAACCAAAAAGTCCGGCAAGAGGGAGAGAACACGAGCGAGGGAAGAACCCTCGGCGGGAGAGCCCGTTTCTTCGCAGAGACACGGTCCCGCTCCCAGCTGGTCCCAAATGCAACTGCTCATCCTCCTCCTGCTCTACGCCGTCGTCTGTGCGAACTTTTGCAGCCGTCAGGGCACCACCGCCCCTGCCCAGAGCGGATCTATAAAAGCCCTGCGGGCCTCCAACATCAGGCGAGATGGTAAGTGTCCTGCTGCTTTATTTGTTCCCAAGGGCTGCATTTGTGGGGGGAGCCCTGAGCGAACCTCTGGGCTGCTGTTCCTCTGTCTCGGGAATGGGGGCCGCATCCCCAGGGGAGGACGGGGGTCTGTCTGGGTGGAGGTCCCGTCCCCGAGGGGTCAGCCGGGGGCATGGGAGTCAGACCCTGAAGTCTGGTCCCTGGAGACTGCTCCGGGAGCGTGTGGCCAGGTGGCAGGAGGGAGGTGTGGACTGAGAGGGCGGCTCTGCCCGGCAACTGAACCTCCGGCGGTCCCAGACTTCTCAGGGCAACTTCGAGGAGGTATCCTAGGAGTCGGCGGTGCCGTCTGCGTCCCCTCCGGGCTGCAGCCGGCACCTTGCTCCTGACGACCATCGGGCCCGTGTCCCCCGTGTGCCTGTGATGTGCCGACGGCGGGGGCAATGCCGGGCAAGCGGCGGGTTTGTGGCGGGGGTGTGGGTGGTGGGGGAAGCCGTCGCCTCAGGGCTTCTTGTGGGAAGCGGGCTCCTCTCCCAGCCCCCCCACCCCGCAGCCGTCGCCGTGTTTGGCTCCTGTAAGGGCTGTCGGGATGCCGCCCTCCAGGTGGGAGACTGCCTAGGGCTCGGGGTTCCCTTGGGTCTGCTGGGCAAGCAATGCCTCACCAGGACTGGCCTCGTCCCTTGTGATGCCCAGGGATGGTGAACACCCTGCAGGGCGGCCGCGGGCTCTCGGATACTGCCCGTTCGGTAGGAAGGATGGTGTCAGCTGGTGTATCTGAACTCTGGTGGTGTTCCCGCCGCTGCCAGCGGAGGATGCCCTGGAGGGGCCCTGGAGGGTCCGCAGCACGGCTGAGTGGGATGCAGGTGCCTCGAGTGAACGGGTAGCGTGGCCGCGTTCTGTGGCCCCATGGTGAATGAATGGGGAGGCTGCATAAAAATAGCACTGCTGAGAATCACCTCTGGAATCCACACCTTTCGCTTTGGGAAGAGTGATGAGCATCTCGCTGGGAAGCAGCCTGTTGTGTTCCAGCCTCACGTGGACCTGCTTTTGCACGTTGCTGTTTCCCATCTTACACAGCGAAATGCAAGATTTTGTCCCTGAAAATGAACAGTTAAGTTCAGTCTTCAAGTTAACATCTTTCAGTTGACAGAATTTATATTTTTTATAAACCCTTTTCAAAAACCCGGTCGCTTGACATTTCCAAGACTGTATTCTGTATTTACCAGTGTTTATTTTCCAGCATGTATACAATGTATGTAATGGGTATACAGTTGATTTAGGATGATGTCTTTGTTTCAACTTTGGAGCCATATTGAACTTAATAATCTTTTGTATGCCTTTCTAATCACTGAAAGAAGGCATAGTGAAGGTGGACAGTTTTTTTTTCTTAGAATTGAGATATTGAGTCAAGAAACAAGATAGAATTGCAATTCCTTCTGTAACAGAAGTCCAGTTCCATCTCATTAAAAAAGTAAAACAAGTAGTGTTTGTAATAAAAGCATATATGTGTTATTTCTGTTTCATCTTTTAAAAGGTACATCCTTTATGTACCTTTTCAAGCTTCATGACTTTTAAGCCTGCCATCTTAAACTTCGCAGAAGAACTGGGACCATCTCTGAACTAAACTGAGCAAGTTTCCATCCAAGTCAAACTTCAAACAAGCTTCTTTATAGAAAACTGCAGTGATTTACTTAAAACATCAAAATGTGTTTTACACCGATCTCCTCTGTGTAGTCAATAAAGAAATCATTAACCCCTAATATAAATAACGTTTTCATCTTAATGGTAGTGTGACAGGTGTTTTACCGAGGACTTCCTGTGATAAAATTGCTTCTTGGAGTGATGAAGAGAACAAGCTTCTGAAATGATTAGTTAGTTGCTCTCTTCCTAGTTGTGTTCATTTAATGTTGTGATTAGGCTTTACACCTTTAAAATTATCTGAGACAACTTGTAGTAGGTGAACTTCGTGTGTACCAGGTGGGCTAATACTGGGGCTGCTGACAGATCTATATGATCTACGTACTGCCTTTCATCTTTTTCCTGAGTCATGTGCTAGTGAGTCCTACAGCCTACAGAGGTAGTGAAACATGCCCATGCTGAAGTCAGACACCTCTGAAATTCTTTACTGGATAGCCATTTACTGAGGAATGTAACAGACCTTTAGTCAGAACACACACAGCCCCTAGCATGCCTTGTTCTCTCTCTGTGCTTGGGAATCTGCTTGATTTTTCTCTGTGAAGACTCTGTGTTCTGGTGTGGCCAGTGGAGCTGGGCGTCAGGTTACAACATCCAAAGCAGATCAGCTGCTTTCTCCCTGATTTTATTCAAATGAACCAAACCGTTGCTCGAGTTTCTTGACGAAAGGTCTGTATTTGTGAAGCCAAAGGTTATGAGTGGTATTCCAAATGTTGCATGCATGTGATGAGCTCACAAGCACTGTTTAGACCATGGTTGGCTGTCGGCCACTAAAAGTATTTCTGTCTTTCATAACTTGAAGTGGTGTTTTTGCGCACAGAAAGGATAAAAAGTAATTTAATAATATGTCCTGGGTTGATGATCATGATTATTATGTTGCGGAATTAAAAGAGATACTGAAGAGGAAGCAAGGCCTGTTCAGCTTTTTAAAAAACATTATGTCTTGGCAAGTCCAAGACCACTTGCACTTTTTATTAAAAAAGAAAACAATCCTTTGGATTCTATTTTTCTGTTATTTCCAAGCAGGATAAACTAGTGATACTGCATATATGGAGCTTTAATATGGAGGCTTGATCTTGCTTTCAGCCAAAGTAAGCCTTTGCACTCTGCGCGATTTGATATTGTCTTTCTTCTTTCAGACTAAAAGAGGTTGGCCTATTTGTCATTGCTCTTACTTAAGACTGAAGTTTGTCTGATAAGAAATCTGTAGATGAGGGAAGCACATACAAAAAAAGTGCCATTTAATGGCTACCAAACCTAACCAGACTGTACTTTCTGCTGAAGATATTAAGAATATAAATAACCTGCTTACAAGACATCCTCTTGTCCCAGTGGAAGGACGGGCATTGATGACTCAGCAGTCCAGTGTAGCACTAATCAATTTTTTTAAGTGTCCTGGAGATGCCAGCAACACTTATAGCACAAGTAGTGATATTCACTTAAAGTGTTTATTTATGCTATTAAGTCCTTTGAAGTTCATCAGAATAACAAACAGAGAGGTCTTCCAGATGCTTCCATTTTTCTCTTTTGACTAATTTTCCCAGTTTGCAGTATGCAGGTAATACCATATAATTATATGAAGCCTTATATTTTGTTTCTCCTATTTTGGTTGTTTATGTATACTTGGAGATGAAAAGTGGGAGATAAAAAGTACTTATTTACTCTATAATGTCTAACTGAAACATTGTTTACTCTTTTTTATCTGTTATTGAACAAACATTCGCTTAGTCTAGGAAAGTATTCCTAGTCCATATCTTCAGACTAAGCATCACTATACATATTTTAAACTTTAAACTCAAAAGTTTAAAGAAAAAGCAGACCAAACCAGACAGCATAGTGTCAAATCATTTCAGTATGTAAACAACTGAAAGCCATGGAATCAGTATCTTCTGATGTGGATTTGAAACCATAACATCAGATGACTCAAGTAAGACTGTGCTGTTGTGGTTTTCATTAGGAACAAAAAAAATAAAAAAGGAATTTCCAAAGTTTGATTTGCTTGTGCACCACCAAAATACAAAGAAAAATCGTGCTTTATAATTCTGGGAAACTGCCAACAGCTTTTGGCCCTCTCATGGCCAGTACAAATGGATGTGTGCCATTAACTCTACCCTCTTCTTCCCTGCATTGGCCTGTGCCTAATCATGAGGAAAAGTATTTGGTGATTTAGGCAGTATTCTCTCACCAAATAGGCGTTAGGAGTCTGATCTTGGGAGAAGATACAATTGTGTTGTTTTCTGGGTTTTGTTTGTTTTGTTGTTTGTTTTTTGTTGTTTTTTTTTTTAGATTAAGTATGGAACTAGTTGATATTAAATATTCCTCCAATCCAAGACATTCTATGATTCTATGATTTCATGATACTGGGAGAAATTCTTTACTGTGAGGGTGGTGAGGCACTGGCACAGGTTGCCCAGAGAGGTCTGCTCAAGGCCAGGTTGGATGGTGCTCTGAGAACCTGGTGTAGTGGAAGGTGTCCCTGGTCATGGCAGGGGAGTTGGAACTACATGATCTTTAAGGTCCCTTTCAACCCAAACTATTCCATGATTCTATGGTTTTGTGTATTCATGTTTCCATGATTCCATGATTCTATGAAATGTCTCTGGTATTACTAGTGATATAGGAACCTCGGGTTTGGAATGCACTTATTGAGTTCTTTTATAATAGGCTTGTATACATTTTTTAAAGGACTCTAGTAACATAAAATTGTGTCAACTGTAAAATGGATAGAATAAATTTGGTTTTATAGGCTTTATATCCCCAATTTTGTAGATTTTGCATAAAAATGTGTATTTTAGGCTTCATCAGTTATTTTAAAAAAAGCCTTAATAATTTCCCTGGAGTAATACACTTTGGTCTACAATTGTTTAATCGCTGATGTCTCTTATCTATATAATTAACAGTTTGGACTGAAGTATCGAAGGATATTGCATGAGAATTCCAACCATGACTCAGCAGCAAGAAGCATGTAGGAATTCTCTAAAGGAGCTTGAAACGTGTTTTATCAAACAGATGTATATCATACGGTCAAAGTCGCTATAAACTCCCCAACCAGTCTCTCAAAACATCGTGGGGTTTTTTTGGTGTGGTGTTATTTTTGTTTGGTTGGTTGATTGGTTTTTTGTTTGGTTGGGTTTGGTTTTTGGTTTTGGTTTTTGGTTTTGTTTTTTGTTTATTTTGTTTTATTGGGGTTTTTTTATGTATTTGTATGAAATGGAATTAGGCCAGCTAATTCTTAAAAGGCTTGAAGAAAAAACTTGATAATAGTATTGCTTTGACTTGTAGAAAATGAACAATGCTGAAATTTCTAAAAT